TGAGGCCAGCTTGGGCAATACAGCGAGACCCCATTCAAAAAAAAAAAATCAAATCAGCTGGGCATGGTGGCATGTGCCTGCCATCCCAGCTATTTAGGAGGCTGACATGGGAGGACTGCTTGAGCCTAGGAATTCAAGGTTGCAGTGAGCTATGATCATTCTACTGCACTTTATTTTATTTATTTATTTACTTTTGAGACAGAATCTCACTCTGTTTCCCAGGCTGGAGTGCCGTGGCATGATCTCAGCTCACTGCAACCTCTGCCTCCTGGTTTCAGATGATTCTCCTGCTTTAGCCTCCCGAGCAGCTGGGACTACAGGTGTGCCACAACACCCAGCTAAGTTTTGTATTTTTAATAGAGACGGGTTTCACCATGTTGACCAGGATGGTCTTGATCTCTTGACCTCGTGATCTGCCCACCTTGGTCTCCCAGTGTTGGGATTACAGGCATGAGCCACCGCGCCCAGCCGCACATATATATATATATAATATATATATAATATACAAATATAGTATTTATATATATAATATACAAATATAATATATATATATATATATATATATATATATATATATTTAAACCATCTGCAGGTATAGCTACTACACTCTAGCCTGGGCAACACAGCAAGACCCCGTCTCAAGAAAACAAAACAGAAACCAACTTCTTACATTATGGTCACATCTGATGAACCCTCTTGAGTTCATTAGGAGAATCTCTGAAATGTAAACTGAATGGAGTCCAGATTAAGGTATAAAATCATTACATCAGTAACATCAGTCAAATATATAAATGTTTATGCATTTTTAACATTTTAGGTTATATTCCTATGTATCACTTCCTTCAATTTTCTTCCCTAAATGAGAAACAGATTAAAACAAACAAACAAACAAACTTCCTTTAATACCAAACCAGGACTTTTTCTGTTCCAAAAGAAGAAAATAAACAGAAAAAACAAGCAGTCCTGACAGGACAAAGATAAATGTTAAAAATAATATATAAAATATTTCTTACAGATGCAACTATCCAAATAGCCAAATTTGTCTCTATTACTGCACGGGACAAAACAGAGCAGAAAGCGAACCATTTTGCAAAGGCTGCAACAGACTTTATAAAGCAATAAACCTGTCAAGCTTTTGGCAGAGAGCAAAGAGGGGAACAGAAACAAAACCTGAGATTCTGTATGAAATGAAGGGAGAAATATTCTACTTTGTAATGTAGAAGAGGAAAATTTGAAATGACATAAGAATAAAACTGACAAGTTTCATAAATGGAGAAAATAATTTCAAACCTGAAAAATCACTGAAGAAGCTATGTGCTTCTTAGGGTATAGAACAGGATCTACTCTATCCTAGGTACAGTACGTTTACATGGGGAGGGAACCACAACATTAAAACAGCCATCAAAGCAACATAAGACATAAAGCATTCTGATAAACTAGAACCTTTATGTGCAAAAAAGCAAACTGAAAATACCTAGGAATATCCTTATCAAGAAAGAGCCTGCAAAAACATAGAAAAGGCTTTTGTTAGTGCAGCAAAACAAAACAAAACAAATAGACTGAATCAGAAAAAAAATCTATTAAAAAAAGACAAATTTGCTGATAAGCAAAGTGAATTCAAGTGGACAGACAATTAACAGAGAATTCCATGGAACACAATTTGATAGAGGACTTACAATGACATGGGTCCCTCTCCTGAGACTTTCAACTAAGGAAAATGCTGGACATAGATGGGAAAGTGGAGATCACCACCATCAATACCCCTTTTGGTAGTGACTTGGTATTGAGAATAATATGAAGTTGCTGGGGAATTAAGGGAAAACCAAGTCAATTCCTTAACATAAATGTAGGGCTGGCAAGAAAAGGAATAATGGTCCCTTGTCAATTATGTTCCACTATCAATATATTTTAAAAGCCCTCTAAGAAACACACATTATATACCCAAACTGGAAGTAAGTTCAATTTTAAACACTAAACCTTAGACAAACAGAACGAAAGTTCTCTTAACCAAACTCCATTTTGCCACTTAATGGTCATATTAACCTATGTTCTACATATCCCTAAAATATACAGATTGTTGCCTGGTTCTCCTTGAACATTCTAAACTACAAAGATGTCTCATATGTCCAGACACTTCACTCCAAAGAGTTAAGCTGCATGCTTATCAAATGTCAGCAGTATCTGGTCCCAAATCTGTTGTACTTATTATTGTCTAACTTCATTAAACATTAGGCAAATCAATGAAATAAGAAAACATAAATAATTTTTGTTTCTGTGAAAACTAAGTTGAATGTTTTCAAAAGGTCTGATGATGAGTTGTTTAGAAATAGTTAAGGTTGGGTGAGATAAATGTAAAAAAGGAAAATGATAAAATGTTAATAAATGATACAAAGTTTAAAGGATTTTGAACTTAGATTTTCTTCATAGGTTTCTAATTCTTTTTTTTTTTAATATTCCGACAGCACAGGATCAACATAGGTTTCTAATTGTTGCTCCTTCAAACTAAAGTCATAGATGATGAATTATGGATGTGGTTTTGCAAGGGAGACAATCAGAATTCCAGTAAATGAACTTATAATTAAAGAAAAGTCCACTAGGCATGGTGGCGCGTGCCTGTAGTCCCAGCTACTTGGGAGGCTGAGGTGGGAGGATCACTTGAGTGCAGGAGTTCTGGGCTGTAGCACGCTATGCCAATCGGGTGTCCACACTAAGTTCAGCATCAATATGGTGACCTCCCAGGAGTGGGGGACCACCAGGTGGCCTAAGGAAGGGTAAACCAGTCCAGGTCGGAAATGCAGCAGGTCAAAACTCCTGTGCTGATCAGTAGCGGGATCTCGCTTGTAAATAGCCACTGCACTCCAGCCTGGGCAATATAGTGAGACATCGTCTCTTGAAAAAAAAAGGAAAGGCCATGGCCTTCCAGCAAAAGCTTAATAAATTAATGTAGATTTGTATAGTTTAAATTAGAACAGAAATTTTTTGTTTTTTTAGACAGAGTTTCACTCTTGTTGCCCAGGTTGGAGTCAATGGCACAATCTCCACTCACTGCAACTTACACCCCCTGGGTTCAAGCGATTCTCCTGCCTCAGCCTCCTGAGTAGCTGGGATTACAGGCGTGCGCCCACGTGTCTGGCTAATTTTGTATTTTTAGTAGAGATGGGGTTTCACCATGTTGGCCAGGCTGGTCTCGAACTCCTGACCTCAGGTGATCCACCCGCCTTGGCCTCCCAAAGTGCTGGCATTACAAGCATGAGCCACCTCGCTCGTCCAGCCTAGAACAGAGATGTTTAAGGTGTATATCTTTTTATTATTCTTGACTTCAGCCTTTTTTGATTAACTCACTCTCACAAGATAAGGTGCTTCTAACAAAACCAAATTCATTTCTTGTAGCACCTGACCTGTTTTGGGGCATGAATTAAAGGAATTCTCAAAGTTACTCTAATGGAGGCAAACTTAGAATAACCAGTATTTCGACCAAAGCCCATCTTTCCCTGTATATTTTACTAAGTACCTTAGAGAAATCTACAATACATTTTTCATAGCTATTGGCAGAAGACAGAAAGCTATGCAGAATTACTGCTGACTTCAGGGAAATAGTATTGTTCATGATTCTGCCCACAGAAAGTCAAAGCACCCCTCTTTATTTCTGCCACTCCCCCTCTCCAGACATACATGCCCTCTCACTCTTTCCCTCTTTCTCCACAGCCCCTGCCAGTAAACAGAGGTTTGTTATTTTCCTCTTTCCTATGGTAAACTGTAATACAAGAAAACAACAGAAAGAAATTAATCCTGGCCCAAACCTTTCATTCCATGTCTGCCTACCTATTGTCTTATTCTTACCCTTCCTCCTCTCAACATGGATGTAAACCAGTTTTTCAGGAGCAGACTGAGGCACAGTGAAGTTCTGTGGTGTCAAGGCATTGTGCTCAGCCCACATTAGAAGAGGCAGCTGCTCCTGTTTCCCAGTCTCTAGGATATAACTAGGATATAGAGATGGAGTCTCTGAGACAATGAGAACTCCTTTGCTGGGTGAGGTAAGAGGACCCCAACTGGTTTAGTTCTAATCTTAAAAGGGAAAAGTAGAATGGCTACGTACTTTATGAATTGTCTGTTATCCCCTGACTATAAAAAAGAATTGTAAGTGAAACATTTAAAATGAAAGACAAAGTAAAATCTATTATGTATGGCAGCCAGTTGTGGTCACAAGAGTTCATATTATTTATCACTTTTGTGCATAAATGAAAATCGAATACTAAGAATAATTGAGCCTATACTAGCAGCAGCAAAGACTAAGCACAAGAGGCTTCATTTTTATCTTGGCGGGCACATTTCCATGATACTTAGGCGTAAGAGAAAGCTTTCTCTCCACAGAAACTATTTCACAGGAAAACATTTAATCTTGGCAATAATTAATTTGTACTTTTAAATCCTTGGAAACTATATTGAGTTTTCATTCTCCAATTTTTTTTTTTGTTTGCTTTTTGTTTTGAGATGGAGTCTCACTCTTGTTACCCAGGCTGGAGTGCAATGGCGCAATCTTGGCTCACCACAACCTTCGCCTCCTGGGTTCAAGCAATTCTCCTGCCTCAGCCTCCCGAGTAGCTGGGACTACAGGCACGTGCCACCATGCCCAGCTAATTTTTGTATTTTTAGTAGAGACGGTGTTTCACCTTGTTGACCAGGATGGTCTCGATCTCTTGACCTCGTGATCCACCCGTCTCAGCCTCCCAAAGTGCTGGGATTATAGGCGTGAGCCACCACGCTCGGCCCATTTCCAATTTTCATGTATTACTTGTTACATCTATTCATACTTCACATGGGACAGATCACTTCCATTCTTTAAGAGTAACTGATCACATACAAATATCTCCAATTCTTTCTTTCTTTCTTTTTGGAGAGCACAGCAGGCAGGTGAAGAAATAGATTTCTGAAGAAATAGATTTTCTTCTCTGAACTGGGAGTCATTAATGAATAAGGAACCTAATGGTGTACCAATTAACCTCCACAAGGGTGGACTCTTCACACTCCTCTGGGTGTCCCACCTGCTAGAGTTGTGGGAAGACTTCAGGTACTTGGCAGAAATAATATTTAGAGAGAGAATGGCATCAACTGCAGCTTCATCCACCTCAGGCTTATTTCTAATACGACCTAAAAGAAAGGATAAAGAAAACAGAGCATGGACACATTTAAAAACAAAACATGAATTTATTAAGCCAAAAAGAGACGTTTAAATCTATGTGTAAGTTCAGGAGCTGGAAGGGTCACTTGGCTACCGGTAGAGTCCTCCATGGTCTGTCTCCATTACTTCCCACATTAAGTTAACTATGAAACCACGTCAATTCTTCATTCAAAGAGTTTCTCATATTCATCTCAACTTTCATTTATAGTATCACTCCCCTGCTCACAAAGGCCACCTCCTCTCTGATCTGGAACCTGCAATAGCCATTTATCTGTCTCCCTGCTATTCATACCTCTCCTGTTCCAATCCATTCTACTCTCACCTAATAGCAACTTCTTAAGCCACTGATTGACTGCCCTTTTTTTTGAAACAGGGTCTTGGTCTGTCACTCAGGCTGAAGTGCAGTGGTGCAATCACAGCTTATCAAAGCCTTGAATTTCTGAGTTCTAGTAATCCTCCCATCTAAGTCACCTGAGTAACTGGGACTTTAGGCCTGCAGTACCATGTCTAGCTTTTTTTTTTTTTTTTTTTTTTTTTTTGTAGAGACGCGGCCCCACTATGTTGCTCAGGCTGGTCTTGAACTCCTGGGCTTAAGCAATCCTCCCACCTTGGCCTCCCAAAGTGCTGGGATTACAGGCATGAGCTGCCACACCTGGCCAACCTGACTTTATTGCTTAAAACTTTTCAGGGTTTTGTTTTGTTTTGTTTTTTTTTGAGACGGAGTTTCACTCTTTTTACCCAGTTGCTGGAGTGCAATGGCGCGATCTCGGCTCACCACAACCTCCGTCTCCTGGGTTCAAGCAATTCTCCTGCCTCAGCCTCCCGAGTAGCTGGGACTAGAGGCATGCGCCACCATGCCCAGCTAATTTTTGTATTTTTAGTAGAGACAGGGTTTCACCTTGTTGACCAGGATGGTCTCTGTCTCTTGATCTTGTGATCCACCCGTCTCTGCCTCCCAAAGTGCTGGGATTATAGGCGTAAGCCACCGTGCCTGGCCAAAACTTCTCAGGCTTAAGCAATCCACCAGCCTCAGCCTCCTGAGTAGTTGGGACTACAGGCACACGCCACTACACCCTTTCTTGGTCAAAATCCTACATTCTGTTTTCAAATTAACACTAGAAGATACAGCATTGCATAGAGGTTAAGGACTTGGCCTCCAGTGAGGCTTTGGGCTTAAGGCTCAACCTCTCTGAGCCTCAGTTCCCTCATATGTCAAGTGAGAATAACAATTCCTTCCACATATGGTTGTTATGAGGATTAAATAAACTAGCATTTTTGAAGCATTCAGAAAAGCACCTGGCATATGGTAAATACTACATCAGAGTTTGTTAACAAAACAAACTAAAAATAAATCATACGGTTCCTCAGAGAAGCCATAGTAACTGCTGCCTCTGTATCCTCCCTCTCCTCTGGTCAGAAAGTATCTCTTTTGTTTTGGTATTAGTGTTCCATACAAACATTACTTTTGTCAAATGACATTCAGTGCTTTGTAAATACAGTTAAAAAAAAAACTAAATTAAAAAAAAAAATAGGCCGGGCACAGGGGCTCACCCCTGTAATTCCAGCACTTTGGGAGGCTGGTGGATCACTTGAGGTCAGGAGTTTGAGACCAGCCTGACTAACATGGAGGAACCCCAACTCTATTAAAAATATAAAATTATCCAGGCGTGGTGGCACATGCCTGTAATCCCAGCTACTCGGGAGGCTGAGGCAGGAGAATCGCTTGAACCCAGGAGGCCGAGGTTGCAGTGAGCCAAGATCGCACTATTGTACTCCAGCCTGGGAAACAAGAGCAAAACCCCGTCTCAAAAAAAAAAAAAAAAGAAAGAAAGAAAAAAGGCCAGGCGTGGTGGCTCTCACCTGTAATCCCAGCACTTTGGGAGGCTGAGGTGGACAGATCAACAGGTCAGGAGCTCAAGACCAGGCTAGCCAACATGGTGAAATCCCATGTCTGCTAAAAGTACAAAAATTAGCTGGGTATGGTGGTGGATGCCTGTAATCCCAGCTACTCAAGAGGCTGAGGGAGAGAACTGCTAGAACCCGAGTGGCTAAGGGAGGTTGCAGTGAGCCAATATCGTGCCAGTGCACTCCAGCCTGGGTGACAGAGCAAGACTCCATCTCAAAAAAAAAAAAATTAATTATAAAAAAATTTTGAAAACTACTACCACTGTTGCCCCAGACAAGAGAGAACATAATCTCCCTTCCAGGGATGATGATTCTTTTTTTGTTTGACAGGGGCTCACTCTGTCACCCAGGCTGCTGGAGTGCAATGGCATGATCATGGCTTGCTGCTGCCTCGACTTCTCAGGTTTAAGCAATCCTCTAGCCTCAGCCTCCTGAGCAGCTAGGACTATAGGCACACACCACTATACGCAGCTTATTTTTTCAGATACACAGTTTCGCCATATTGTCCAGGCTAGTCTTGAACTCCTGAATGTAAGTGATCCGCCTGCCTTGGCCTCCCAAAGTGCTGGGATTATAGGTGTGAGCCACTGTGCCTGGCCCCAAGGTTCTTAATCTGGTCCACAGAGACACAAGCACTCTGGACAGAATTCAGAGGGACCTTGAGCTTGGATGGGGAGAAGATTACATTTTTACTTTCACACACCTTTAACTAAAAATTGGCATCTCCTTCAATTATGAAGGAAGGCAATAAACCACAGAAGAACTGGCAGTACCTGTAACTCTGTCGCTAGTGGAATCCGCAGATATTTCCCATACACAAAATATTGTTTTCATTGATCACTACTTTGAAATTATGGTAATTAGAACAACTGCTAAATCTTGTTATTTCATGCATCAATAAAGAAGAGCTTAATGTTTTAACAACTGTATTTCAATATTATCAATTTCCTTTGTAATCCTAAATACTTTATTTTTCACATTTGGAAACATAATTCTGAGGCTTCAGCACTGCAAAAGAGGTCCATGGCAACAAAAGTTCCAAACTCCTGCCTCAGACTATCATTCTAAAGTTCACACTATCTACCCAATATGCCTTAATTCCTCCACTCTGGCCATGGGGTTTCTTGTCATTTGCATCTTAGGCATATTCCTGACTCTCTTACTCAAAATGCTTATGTCTGGAAAACAAAAAAACAAAACCCCTCTAATTTTTCTTGAATCGATTCAGTCCTTCTGGATGGTTTTCATCATTAAGTCTCTTAGCATAGATCTTCCCTTGTCTTCATTCTGTTACTCACTCATCAAAGCATTCTGCACATATATATACTGTCTTCCCAACTAAACTGCAAGCTCACAATTAGCAGAGATTTTTTTCTTTTTTGAGACACAGTCCCACTCTGTTGCCCAAGTTTGAATGCAGTGGTGCCATCTCAGCTCATTGCAACCTCCACCTCCCAAGCTCAAGCGATCCTCCTGCCTCTTCATCCTGAGTAGCCAGGACTATAGGTGCATGCCATCACGCCCAGCTAATCTTCGTATTTTTTTTTTTTTTTTTTTGTAGAGACGGGATTTTGCTACCTTGCCCAGGCTGGCCCTGAACTCCTGGACTCAAGTAATCCACCCATCTCAGCCTCCCAAAGTGCTGGCATTACAGGCATGAGCCACCACACCCAGCCAGCAGAGATTTCTTTTATGTCCTCTCACAGCCTTTACCACAGAACCATATACCATGGTAATTGAGTAAAGTAACAGTTAGTTGGATAACGTATCACTAATGACGAAGCAGAGAAACAGGAATACAGAGTTCCACACTCAAGGCCTCTACATCTCCATAGTCTGTGTTTTCCAACATGGTCTTCCACACGTTCCCTGTACTGCAAACAAGGAAGAATAACATCTCTAACAGGGCACAGTGGCTCACACCTGTGGTCCCAGCTATTCGGGGGCCTGAGGCAGAAGAATCACTTGAGCCCAGGAGTTTGAGGCCACAGGAGCTATGATCTCATCATTGTACTCCAGCCTGAGTGACAGAGCAAGAACCTGTCTCAAAAAAAAAAAAAAAAAATCTCTCTATCCTTGGCTCAGGAAATGTACTCACCTACCACCAGTTCACGAACGTCTTTCCAATGGAGCTCACTCCCCTTCTCATGGATAATGGTCACTGTGATCCTTCGCTGAATGCCCTAGGTAATGAAGCAGGGTTGCAATTTAGCTGGAGCAATCTATTATTTCCTTCGTCTGTTGTTTTCTGGGCTGTACAGCATGGCATGGGGGATAAACAGGAAGGAGAGGTATGGAAAGAGGGAAAATGCTATCCACACTGTTATTCAAAAGAAAGGGAGATGTGTCAGGGACTAAGGAACAGTCAGGTTCTGATATGGTTTTTTCCTCTCTTTTTTAAAAAGATTCTTTTTCTCTGTGGTGTTAAGAATAAAACCATAATCTGTCACAGGAGATTACGTGGCTGCATCCCAGCACCCTGCATAGTAAGTATTCAATCATGCTCTGATTGTATGTCCCAGTGTAAGGCATCCCTAGCCCCTATGCCCACTTGAGTCATAAGTACTTTTGAATACTGACTGAATCTGCCCTTGATTTACCAAAAGGGACCTATTTCATAATCAATTTTTTCTTTTTTTAAAAAAAAATTTTATCTCTTTAAAAAGGCATTCATAACCAAATTTTTAGTCCATTGAAACCTTCATCCTCGACCCCTATTAAGAACTTCCAGCGTGAAAGCACAGAGCTTCCAAACATCATGAAATGGAAAGTATTAAAAGTAACATAAGAGCTACACAAATTAGAGTACTGAATGAAATAAAATTTTTCAAAATAGCTATTCTAAATAGCCATATAAAAGCGAGGATAAATATAAGTCAAGGTCTAAGAAAGAAATATCAAAAAACAAACACAGAAAAAAAGGTTAATAGGACAATGGCCCATCCACCCCTTGAAATAGAGATGAAAAATAGAAATATAAAGAGTTCCATCTCTTATTCTAAACTCTTTTCATTGTTCCCTCCTAGGCCTATTTTGGTCCCTCATTAGTACCTGATGAAGCAAAAATGTCCCCTGGCAGGGCAAGCCTGCTGTATGGTCAACCACGGCTGGGATATACCTATAAAAATAGAAATGCAAAAGAAAGAACTAAGTGCTACTTCAACTGCAAGGGTTAGTCCCTGGTGATCTTTGTTTTTCTAAATTCTGATCCCATGTCTTTCTCACCCATGCTGGCATTTAATCATATAGTCATCTGCATTTACTAATCCTTTCCACACATCTTTGTCTCAGTGCTCACGAGACTGGGTGCTCATAGGACAGTAACATCTTTTGGTGGCATCCAGCCCCTAAATATTGAGTATTCGATAAATAATGCAGAAGTGTAATCGACAAGAGACAAGAAACACAGATAATTTCAGACTATAGTTTTTTTTAAAATTCCGAAAGCAATTAATTCAGTAGAAACAATTACTGTAACTACCTCTCCCTCATTATACAATTTGTAATCATATTATAGGTCTGTCTATGAAAAGTCAAATTCCTTAAAGCACTGTCACTACTGACAACTACATTCAAGATTGACAGAACCACACTTAACATGGTATCCTACACATAGCAGGAACTTAATAAGTGTTTCCTGATGATGATCATGATGGTGGTTCTCAGAATTACATATAGGGGAACATTATGATAACATTTACCCCTACCCTTTCAAAAGCATTTTTAGAGACAATTATACACAATAATTACATTAATCATTTACTCTAACTCGGCTCATGGAGACAGAGTAAGCTGATGATATCATTTTGATCCAGAACAGTGGTACTGAGGATGGCTCCCTGGAAGATATTTGGCAATGTCTGAAGACATTTTTGGTTGTCACAAATAGAGTGGAGCTGCTGGCATATTGTGGGTAAGGGCCAGGGATGTTGCAAAATATTCTAAATGCACAGGACAGCCCCTCACAACAGAGAATTATCCAGCTCCAAACAGTGTTGAGGTTGAGAAACCCTGGTCTAGGAAAATATTCTGCCCTTCTATATCCACCTTGACATTAGTAATGTTAAGCCTTTAACATATTCTATGCAATATGTTCCATTTGCTTTACTACTGCTAAAACCCACTACGATAAAATCCTTATAACAAGGTACCACTGGGTGTGGTGGCTCACGCCTGTAATCCCAGCACTCTGGGAGGCTGTGGTGAGTGGATCACCTGAGGTCAGGAGTTCGAGACCAGGCTGGCCAACATGGTGAAATCCCACCTCTACTAAAAATACAAAAATTACAGGCACACACCTGCAATCCTAGCTACTCAGGACACTGAGACAGGAGAATCACTTGAACCTGGGAGGCAGAGGTTGCAGTGAGCTGAGGTCATGACATTGCACTCCAGCCTGGGCAACAGAGCAAGACTCTGTCTCAAAAAAAAAAAAAAAAAGATGCCAATCTCCACGATCTTACTGTTGCTAACAAGAGGGAAAATTGTTATGCTGAACAGTCAGTTCTCTGATAAACATCTGATTCAAATACCAAGACCACCAAAAATCAATTCAAAACCGGAATTTGGCCAGGTGTGGTGGCTTATGCCTGTAATCTCAGCACTTTGGGAGACCGAGGCCGGAGGACTGCTTGAGGGCAGGAATGGTCAAGACCCACCTGGTCAACATAACAAGACTGCATCTCTATTTAAACAAAAACAAAATCATTCCTGGAATTTGATAATGACAACGATTCATTAACCCAAGAAGACTCAAAATTACATTTCCTAATTTGAAACATTTTGTCTTATTTAAAAATTTATTAAGTTGGACTTACTCTCCTGTAGGCTCCAGTTCACTGATCTCAAACCAAACCAGGAGGTCATACTTGCTCATGCTCTGGCCAAGGCTGGTTTTGCTCATGGTGTTTAACTTGGTGGCTGGAACTTTTAAAAGTTTTTAGAATATGTCAAAATCTGGTCCAAGACTACTCAGCAAAAGTACAAGCTTCTCTAATGCCAGTCTTTAAGGACACATTTGGGAAAGGCAGCAAGAGTCAGAGGAAAAGATTTCAATGCAAAAGACTCAGAGAAATACCAATATCAACTTTGTAAGTTATTAGTTATCTCTCAACTCAGAGAACAAGGAAAATGAAGACTCAGTTATCTTTTTCTATCAACAAACTGTCTCTAATAATGAGAAAACAGCATTTGTGCAGAATAAATGTGCTCACAAAACCTTCCCATTCCTGAATCTCACACTGTGTGGCATGCAGAGCATGGAACTAACGTGGGAGAGACAATGCTTAGAAAGTCTCACATGTCACAGGGACTCAATCAAAGCTGGTGTCCTGGAGAAAAGACCCATCCCCCACCCCAGTGGTTCCCAAACCTCTCTGCACACAGGAGCACCTGGGGACCTTAAAGTCCAGGACATACCCCAGATCAATTAAATCACAATCTCTAGGGGAAAGACACAGTTCTTCCTCCATAAGGCATAAATTTTTCCAGGTGATACCAATGTGACGATGAAGTCGGGAACCACTGGTTTAATTTATAAATACAGGATCTGTAAATGATCTTATGTTACACATTTTCTTCAGATTTAAATTCCATATTCTTTCTTTTTTATGGCATGATCTTGGCTCACTGCAACCTCTGCCCCGGGGCTCAAACCATCCTCCCACCATAGCCTCCTGAGTAGTTGGGATCAAAGGTGTGTACCACTGCTCCCAGCTAATTTTTACATTTTTTGCAGAGACGGGGTTTCACCATGTTGACCAGGCTGGTCTCTAATTCCTGAGCTTAAGCAATCTGTTCAACTCAACCTTCCAAAGTGCTGGGATTACAGGTGCGAGCCACCACACCCGGCCAGATTTAAACTCCATATTCTTAACTGTACTGATACTATGTGACTTTAGTTAAACTGTTTAACCTCTGGGAGTCCGTCTCCTCATTTATAAACTGTAGATCATAATATTTAGCCTGCTATTTTGAAAAGCGATCATGAAGATCCACTAACATAATGTATATAAAGGGGCTTTATGAATTACTTAATACTATTCATATGTGTACCCTATCAGCAGTATTCAGCCCAGCTGAGTTTCACATGAGTTGGTGATGCTAGTGAGAAAGAAATAGGGTAAGTAATCCTGGCAGTCATCTAAGGGTCAGAAAGCAATACCAGAAGTATTCTAACAAAACCAACTACTAGTAAAATCTTCAAAATTAAAAATACTATTGCAAAGAATCCATACAAACAAATGCACAGACCTCCCTGCTGCTATGGTGATGTTAAAGAGAAACATGCAGAGAAGGTGCTTCCCAAATCTCTAGGAAGAAAATGTGATACAATCTTGAAAATGTGCTGGACTGTATATTCAGCTCAAGTTGCAAACCAAAATGTCAGTGTTTCATATGCAAAGAGCCAGGATTCAGGACAAGCGCCTGAGGTTGGTTCTAGATCTAAGGTGGAGCTAATTCAGCTACTAACCATCTCGTTTGGGTACCCTCTCGCTCTGGCAGCTGGGAACTGGCAGAAAGAGAAAAGGTGGCAATAGGTCAGCCTCATCCTGGAAGGTGGCAATAGCGGAGGATGCAAACATGCTGGCGTGTTCAGAAAATATGTCCAACACATGCACATTCACATAGCCAGACACGAGAAACCGAATCAGCTCAATCTTTCTCTCATGGTCTGAAGGCAGATGAAGATGGGGAATACAGAGGGTGGAGAGTGAGCACAGGGTGGGGTGGGAAGTTGGCGAATGGGCAGTGAGGAAAAAGGACAAAAGTGAACAAAGAAAAATCAAAACAAGATCATTGAACATGCAAAATAAATTTTCTATGCAAAGAAATGTCTAGTCAACTGAGAGTTATGGGAAGTTACATACAAAGCACAAAGATTTAGAAACAGAGTGATTATCAAAATCTGCAAATAGAAGACCAGAGAGTTGGTAGACAAGGCTTCCTCCTGTTTCTTACTTTTTATTTTGAGAGTTTTGTTCTTGTTGCCCATGCTGGAGTGCAATGTTGTGATCTTGGCTCACTGCAACCTCCACCTCCCCAGTTCAAGTGATTCTCCTAACTCAGCCTTCCAAATGGCTAGGATTACAAGTGTGTGCCAACATGCCTGGCTAATTTTTGTATTTTTAGTAGAGACGGGATTTCACCAGGTTGGCCAAGCTGGTCTTGAACTCCTGACCTCAGGTGATCCACCCGCCTCGGCCTCCCAAAGTGCTGGGATTACAGGTGGGAGCCACTGCGCCTGGCCCTTACTTATTATTTTAAATCAGGAACTAGGAATTGTAGTTCTTACTAGATATATACAAGAGGAGCAGGAATAAGTGTGGATACATAGAAGAATAGAAATTCAAACACAACTTCTATTTGAAAAGTCATTCAGAATAAGAATGTATTCACACAGAGATCATTATGCAGAAACTGAAGCGAGTGCTCACCTGGCTTAGACAGTGGCATGGGCGGAGGGAAGAATCGGCGGCACGGCTGAGGCGGACTGCAAGGAAAGGAATACAAAGCTCAAAACTATAAAGAGTTATTTATTTTAGAAATTCTGCTCTTTGTATTGGACTGCAAATTGAATTTCCTTCTCTTTAGGCCTTTCACAACTAGGAGTGAGAATGTATGTAAAAGTTCTGTGACAGTATGGAGGGCAAACAGTTTTTTCTGTATAGCTCCTAAAAGCGGGGAAAAAGAAAAACTTTGACTTCCATGTGCCTATCTCAAGACATTCCACTTGCAGATTTGAGGTTCTGGATTTCATGTTGGAGTTTTCCAACATTAATGTAAACAGAACTGGCACATAGACATTAAGATGAAAGTAATTATTATTCCTCTTGCTGGTCACTACCATCGCTTTCTACTTCTCTTCATGTGAATTTATTTAAAAGAAGAAAAACTTTTTGTAATGACTATTTGCAGTGTAGAAATCAAGAAACTCTGTTTTTTCAAGGGAAAGAAAAAGACTACAAAGACTTGGACGTTTATATCAATAGCTGGTCTGAATTCCCTTTATAGAAGCAGACTTTTGCATTTTCGACTCGCATAATGCCAGATAATAGAGATAATCCTAGATGGTGAAACAGGCTAAATCTCATTTTAAAAATGTCTCCCTCTAAGTCTTAGCTAATAAATGAAATATAAAAATTCATTCATTCTTCTGTCAACACCAACATTCTGCCATCATCAGAAAGGCCCCGCTGTTGCCTTCCTCAGCAGTTTTGATGACTGTACTTAGAGCTTCTGTTTCATAAAGCTGTGGGCATTAGGAACAATTATATACAATTTTCATGTTATATTCCTATTACCTCAAATTTCTACTATATTCAAAGTCTCTTCCTACAAAAAGATGGTATTTGAGGTCACCCGGTCAAAATACAATTTGCCCTATCTAAAGTCAGCAATCAGGTGGCTAAAAGATGACAGTAAAACTTCTAAAGAGTAAACAGGATATATAGAAAACTTAGTTATCTTAATCCCTCAAAAGATTTCTTCCTTTCCAGCAAACAAGAAACTAAAAATCAAAATACCATCAAAAATGTTTGTCCATCTGATCCAAACCTGTTAAGCTCCTGTCCTTGCAGATGAAGTGGGTGCTGCTGATAATGCCCAAAGACTTCAAATACAATAGGCTTGGTTTTGATATAATCCACAAATGATTCAGTGACCTCCACTGCGATCTAAAGCCAAGAAAAATTAGGAAAAGATTTTAAGAAAATATACATTTTGCTTCAATCAGAACTTTGGTACTATTTTTTGGGGTTTTCTTTAGACAAGGTCTTGCTCTGTAGTCCAGGCTGGAATGCAGGAGCACAAAAAAAGTTCATGCAGCCTCAACCTCCTGAGCTCAAGCAATCCTCCTGCCTCAGCCTTCTGAGTAGGTAGGACTATAGGCATGCACCACCATGCTTGGCTAATTTAAAAAATTTGTTTTGCTGGGCATGGTGGCTCATGCCTGCAATCCCAGCACTTTGGGAGGCTGAGGCAAGCATCAGGAGGTCAGGAGATCGAGACCATCCTGGCTAACATGGTGAAACCCCATCTCTACTAAAAATATAAAAAATTCGCTGGGTATGGTGGTGGGGGTCTGTAATCCCAGCTACTGAGGAGGCTGAGGCAGGAGAATCACTTGAACCTGGGAGGTAGAGGTTGCAGTGAGCCATGATCATGCCATGGCACTCCAACATGGGTGACAGAGTGAGATTTCATCTCAAGAAAAAAAAAAAAGTTTCCTTTTTTCTCCTCCCACTCCCCTCCCACTGCATTTAGTGAATATTTTCTCATGTCCATCTTGCACGTCTGTTTTTAACATATGCATTTCATTTCCCTTATCATAATTCTAAGCTCCTTGGAAGCATCTAAGATACATCTGCATTTCCCAGTTGTCAGGCACAATCCTTGTGCACAACAGCTGATTAAAGTTTATCAGACACATGCTTGATTATATTTATACGAGCATGAAAAAGAAGATAGCATATTTTGTATTTGCTTGTTCCATCTTTGGAGTTCTCCTTTCCTCTCCTAGAGCAAACAGGGTTAGCAAGAGAATGAGAGGCAGTTTCATGTAGTAGTGAAGATCCTGAATGCTAAAGCTACATTTCTCTGACTTTATGTCCCAACTCTGACTCTTGTAACACTGATGAGTAACTTTATTTTTATTATTTATTTATTTTCTTTTTTGAGATGTAGTCTCCCTTTGTCGCCCAGGCTGGAGTGAGTAGACTCACTGCAACCTCCCTCCCTCTCCTGGGTTCAAGCGATTCTCATGCCTCAGACAGGGTTTCACCATATTGGCCAGGCTGGTCACAAACTCCTGACCTCAAGTGATCCACCTGCCTCAGCCTCCCAGAGTGCTGGGATTAGAGATGTGAGCCACAGTTCCTGGCCTGATGAGTGACTTTAATTGCTCTATGCTTCAGTTATCTCAGCTAACACAGGGATTATCCTAATCATTGGTATAAAAGTAAAAATTAAATTACACAAAAACTCTCAAAACAGTGACTAACACAAAATAAACTCTTAGTGAATGTTAGCTATTGTGATGAGGATGATGACTTTGGCATAGAGATTGAGTGAAATTTCATGTTAAAGATGGAAGGTCTGTTTTCTTACTCCACGTAGGAAGACAGTTGTAAAGGGCATTAAAGTGTTAATCATACTATCAGTTGCAAGGAAAACAGATTCTAAATCTTAATTTAGCTACAGAAGGTATTTGCTATTTTTTATGTTATTTGCAATCGAGCAACATAAGTACCTTAGAGTTAAAAGGAGAATGCATTCACTTTAACAAACTCTTATTAAGCATGCTTATTTTTCTAGGACAGAAACACTAAAACAACTCACTGCATTCAAACTGATGGAAGATTTTATTGGCAGACCAACCCACATTCCACTCACTAGCCACATTGTAATTGAGACAAGAAGGCGTGCTGCTCAGACCACTGTGGATGACCTCACCCTCTATTGTCCACACTCTAGCCATGCCCTCTATTGTCTACTCTCCCCCTACACAGCCAGAGACTTGTACCTCTTCTTATCACCCTTCCTGGGCTGAGAAAGCCATGGTACCAGAAAAACATGTTTGGCAAAAATGTCCACATCACTTACATTCTGCACATGATAAAAACCCAGGGGACTTCCTCTGCCATTGTTTTTGAGGGGCTCTGTGGAGAATGCTTCATCATGGCGATGCAAAAAGCTTCATAAAAAAAATAAAAAGACTCGTTAACACTGCATTAAATGATTTTATCAGAATCTGTTTTAAGAGCCCAATTTGGATCCTAGAGAAAGAAGCATTCCACTTAAGCAATTCTTTAACTAAGTTATTTATATTCCCATGTCAAGAACCTTTTTTCCCTATCACACAGAGAGCATTATATTTCAAAAATGACTGAAAAATTAACTGACCCTCATCACTTAGCTATATGGATGTATATGCAAGAATGTTTAGAGAGGGTGAAAAGTAAATTCAATTAACTCCTCTTCCTTTGTAAAAGCTTTTTACTAAAAAATAAAAACAATGTCATTTTAAATAGAAAAAATTGGGCAGCCTCAAGCTTCTATGGTTAGTACAAAAGCCTGCGGCTGCATAAGTTACCTAAGAGACTGTTGTGGATTCAAATGTCACCTCTTCCAGGAATTCTTCCCTTACCCTGACAGTTTTGTGTTCCACTTTATTAGTAACCTGTTTTTCCTTAATAGCAACAATTTCACTGTAATAATGTATTTATATGCCTCTCTCCCCACCAGACAGCAATTGTTTTCCCACTTGCAGGTCTCGAAGCATAGAAGATACTCTGGAAAAATTTGTTGAACCAATGGGCTATATTTAGTTCTTCTAAGACAGTGAGATTTTATTTCTCTCTCTCTCTATTATTATTCTGAAATAAAAAGAACTGCACAGTTAAAGAGGACCCAACACAAAGATTTACTGCCAGATAGAAAAATCCATCAGAAGGACACCTCTTCTGTCAAGAAAAATATGGAGAAAAAGAAAATATTTTGAATGGGGGGACCAAGAGAGACCAGTAGTATGAACTTGTCATCCAAATTAGTTCGCCATGTCTGAGAACACTAGCATGCTTTTGCGAAGTGCTCCAAATCCCTGATGCCTGTACTGCTGGCACTGCAGCACTCTTGGAGTTCCCTGGCGACAGGTGAACTCATTCACATTCACGGTGCTCTGCAGCTATATCTTCCCAGAACAGGCCAGAGGAGCGACTATAAGCCTTTGAGGCTTTTTTGTGGTTGTTGTTGTTGCCCAGGCTGGAGGGTAATGGCATGATCTCGGCTCACTGCAACCTCTGTCTCCTGGGTTCAGCCATGTCTCTCAGGTTCAAGCGATTCTCCTGCTTCAGCCTCCTGAGTAGCTGGGATTACAGGCATGCACTACCATGCCCGGCTAACTTTTGTATTCTTAGTAGAGATGAGGTCTCACCATGTTGGTCAGGCTGGTAAAACTGACCTCAGGTGATCCACCAGCCTCAGCCTCCCAAAGTGCTGGGATTACAGGCGTGAGCCACCATGCCCAGCCTGAGGCTCCTTTCAATACAAGCAACATGCCCTTTCCTCCAGAGCTAACACCAGGCAGAGATGCTGCTCTTTTTAGGAGATTTTAGAACAAAGGCCAACTCACTATTATTGTCACTTCAGACATCAGTTAACCAAATAGATGTTTTTCATAAAAAGTATCAGTTGTCTGATTAGAATAGTGACAGTTCCAAAAAACAGATTAATCTGGTCAACACTATCCTGTCCTAAGTTTGAGAGTGTGAGTGTAAACATTAAATAGGTACAGTCAGTGTTCACTGGGTAATATTTCAACAATTATGAGTTGCAGCAAATGATATTAGTGGCTTACTATATAGTGATCACATTTAATTCAGATCACATTTAACTCAATTTTCTGGGATAAAACCTTTACCAAAGCTTTGTAAACTGCACTAGGATCTGCGGGAAGGCCAAGGTACATTGAGGGGAGAGGGATGGCAGAACCCAAAACAGCCTCTTGGTGGCACCAGTGACAAACTGAGGGCTGTAGGTATGGAGGGGTGAGACTTCAATCTCCTACTGTGGCCCTTTCCAAGTACTGAAAAGACATTCTGAAGTTTGGAGGAATTAAAACTTAAGATTCCAAAAAAAATCTGCACATGTACCCCAGAACCTAAAGTACAATAAAAAAAAAAAAAGATTCCCAAAAACGTGTTTTCCTGGGGCAGTCTTGAGAAGAAAGCATCCAGAGCACTGGGTCTGAGAGGGCTGCAGGACAGAGCAAGTCCTACATAGATGAGAAATGAGAGGTGTCACATCTTCTCTACATACTAGCTTTTTTCAGTTAACACAGAATTTATCCTTCTTTACACTGTTTAAATTTGCCTTTTCCCCGAGTATTAAATAGGCATAATTGGTGGCTAGATAAGTCATTATTTTCAGACTTATTAATAACACATTTCAACATGAAGAGGACTAGACAGACTCATCAACAAGCTTATCTGATCAAACTCTCCATTCCTGGTAAAGAGGGTCCACCCACAGCAGACCCCTGTAGTAGGACATGTGGCATGCTCCTCTCGCCAGGGAACCCTGTTGCATTCCAGGACAGGTTTCCGGTTCTCACTCCCATCGGAGTGATGAAAGCGTTTTCCTTCAGAGACTGGTTAGTCTTTTTCTCAAGAGTGTTAATCCCTCATACCCATAAAGCACTCTGCAGTGCACAAAAGATGTCACCTTGGTTAGCAGCTAGCTGGGAGGCAGAGCAAAGGGGCAGCTTACTTGAACTGACAGAAGATATCTGCATACTCTGGGAGAATTCCACTGGCCTGCAACACTGTTACTCGGAAAGTGAAGGCACTGCCCAGTTTCAGGTGGTTGCCAATCTCTTCAGAAAACCCTTCCATTACCATCTTACCATCCAGCAAAGTGCTTGACTTCAAATCTAAAGAGGGTCAAATGAACACACAGATGGTTCAAATAATGCAGAGGAGGGAATTGGGCATTCTTTCCATTCCTAGTTGATGAAGGCCACTATGTCCCTCGATAATGGTATTTTCCCTTTGTTGAAAATGTCCCCAAGCACAGTAAACACTCTCTACATACCCAAGTCATTCATTCGATTGATTTCTTCTGGAGGACTGATAACCTCAGAACTCTGACCCTGTCCTTCCACAATTCTCAACTCCTCCAAGGATAGACCAGAACGAGTCATTGCAACAGATGAAAAGTCACTCTGAAAATAAGGCAGGAGCAGGTACATGATAAAGTAGTATAAATATATATTTCCCCCCAGTTGCCTTACTTCTGTTATCTGTTCCACAAATAAACAGTGATTGGAAAATTTTATGAACTGAGCGCTGTCTGAGGAAAGGCAACGAATAAAATATGAATGTTGGGTCTGTACACCTTTACCTTCAGAATTGTTAGGCAGGTTCCATATTTTATTCAACTACTCTCTAGCAACCAACACCCTATATTTTTCAGTTTTGTAGGGGAACTGATCTCTAATGCTGAACGTTTTCCTCCTAAATTCATTCCATTTCTTTCTCTTTCCACAGGGTTTTCCTTCTTCCTGATGGTTTCTCACCTGATTAAAGTATTCATTATCAAAAGATATTTTAGCTGTTCCTGACTGTCGAATTCCAGAACCATAATCAGGAGCTTCTTCATCCGCTGAAGCAGAAAAAAAATTAGCAAGAATTGAGTGAGACTACACAGGGGGAGGAAGGGAAAAGGCTCTGATTGGATTATAAAATAAAATCCTTTTGCATGAGAAAATGATACTGAAGTAATAAAACTGCATGGGCTGCTTCACGCTCTATTCATTTAGATTTATCCAACTCCCTCAGTTCAAATAAGACTAGTCAATAAAGAATCAGTTTTATTCTTCAGATTGTTCAAATGCCATACCTAGTAGAAATACTGACTCCTTCCATGCTGGCAATAGTCAATAATACCCAACAAGTATTTGAAAATATTATATTGTACTTATGAAGGAAACTTCTATATACTCAACACTGGTGATTGTGTCACAGGTTTCCATGGAGGAAAGGCTGAAAGGTCACTGGAAACAGCACGGTATTTGAGAATTAAGACAAAGATTACAGAAAATGACCACATTTTTTCCTCAGAATATAGGCTGGATCATAGAAAAATGGAAAATACTAAAATCTTTGTTTTCAATTTTTTTTTAAGAGATGGGGATCTCACTATGTTGCCCAGGTTGGCCTCAAATTCCTGGGCTCAAGCAATCCTGCCTCAGCCTCCCAAGTAGCTGGGACTACAGGCTTGAGCCACCATACCCAGCTTATATCAGCTTGACCCATGAATTACAAAACAGCAGCCAAACAAATGTCTATTATAAGTACCCTGAAGAAAAAAAACTAAGCAAGACAAAGGCCTAAAAATCCTGTTACTAATGAAACAGTTAAGATACATTATTTAGGCCAGGCCAGGAGGTGGCTTACACCTGTAATCCCAACACTTTGGGAGGCTGAGGAGGGCTGATCATTTGAGGTCAGGAGTTTGAGACCAGCCTGGCCAACATAGTGAAACCCCATGTCTACTAAAAATACAAAAATTAGCTGAGTGTGGTGGTAGGTGCCTATAATCCCAGCTATTTGGGAGGCTGAGGCATGAGAATCACTTGAACCCAGGAGGTGGAGATTGACGTAAGTCGAGATCACATCACTGTGCTGTAGCCTGGGCAATAGAGTGAGACTCAGTCTCAAAACAAATCAAAACGGGCCGGGAGCACTGGCTCACACCTGTAATCCCAGCACAAAGTTTGGGAGGCTGAGGCAGGCAGATCATCTGAGGTCAGGAGTTTCAGACCAGCCTGACCAACATGGAGAAACCCCATCTCTACTAAAAATACAAAATTAGCTGGGCATGGTGGTGGGCGTCTGTAGTCCCAGCTACTCTGGAGGGGGAGGCAGGAGAATTGCTTAAACCCAGGGGGCAGAAGGTACAGTGAGCCAAGATCGTGCTACTGCATTCCAGCCTGGGCGACAGAGCAAGACTCCGTTTCAAAAAACCAAACCAAAACAAAACAAAACAAAACAAAACAAAAGGCCAATCACTGGCTGAGTGCAATGTCCCACACCTGTAATCCTAGCGTTTTGGGAGGCTAGGGCAGGAAGATCACTTGAGCTCAGGAGTTTGAGACTATAATGGGCAACATAATGAGACCCCAACTCTACAAAAAACTTAAAAATTAGCTGGGCATGGTGGTGTGTGCCTGGTAGTCCCAGCTATTCAGGTGGCTGAGGTAGGAGGATGGCTGAGCTTGGAGGTGAAGGATGCAGTGAGATATGACTGCAGCATTTCACTCCAGCCTGGGCAACAAAGTGAGACCTTGTCTCAAAAAAAAAAGCCAATGACTTTTATATAGTTAATGCAAGAGCTGATCGTTAACATGCTAAAGGAAATCTCTTTACCTCATTATTCCAAAATCGCAGTGGTATGGACTAAGCAGGATCTATTTATGACACTTGGGAACAACTGCTATAAAGGAGCAATAAAGGCTCTCTCCAAAGAAGACAAGATCCTCACAGTTTGTATGTGTAATATAAGCATGACCCACCCGGAGTTTGCTTGCTTTGTCTCTAGACAAAGAACTCACAGCTCTCATTTCAGAAGAGGGTCACCTACCTGCGATGGCCTGTACAGCCACACGCAGAAATCCCCGCACTTCACCCTTCTCACTGACAATGGCCACCCTGTGGATCAGGGGCACTGGATACAGTAGATTGCTCAGGTAAACAAATGCCCTAGAGACAAAAATCAGGAGACAAATATCAGAGCATCCCATGGAGAGAGAAGCTGGCTTTCAGATTCACTCAGAACATCTTCCTGCAACTGTAAGCTGACTCCTGGCATTGTCTTAAGACCTCTTCTCAGTACTGTCCTCTCAGATTTGCCTCCAGCTGCCTTTTCAGCACAGATAATGAATGAACAAATGAAAATACTTGGCAGAGCTGCTGACGAAGACCAACACACACCAAATCACTCTCTAAAACTTAACTACTATAGGGAGAAGAGTAACAACTGGAAGCAGACTTTCAAGATACTGCTCCATGAACGCAGCTAGGGACAGGTTTGAGGAGGAGCCTATTAAAGAGCTTAACCTTTTAATTTAAGAAACTATAAAAAGGTTTTGTTTCATTTTTCCCAATAGGTAAAATAGAAACCAGGAGACAAAAAAGGAAAGGGTAATGGGCTAAAATACAGTTAATAACTCTAAAATAAATTCCTTATCACAGCATTATGGGTCTTTATTGTTATTTTTAAGAAATGACTATTGGATGGGCGTGGTGGCTCATGCCTGTAATCCCAGCACTTTGGGAGGCCAAGGCGGGCAGATCACGAGGTCAGGAGTTCAAGACCAGACTGGCCAACATGGTGAAACCCCATCTCTACTAAAAAATACAAAAATTAGCTGGGCATGGTGGCTTGTGCCTATAATCCCAGTTACCTGGGAGGCTGAGGTAGGAGAATTGCTTGAACCAGGACCCGGGAGGCGGAGGTTGCAGTGAGCTGAGATCACACCAGTGCACTCCAGCCTGGGCTACAGAGCAAGACTCCATTGCAAAGACTATTATTGGCCGGGTGTGGTGGCTCACGCCTGTAATCCCAGCTTTTTGGGAGGCTGAGGAAGGCAGATCACCTGAGGTCAGGAGTTCGAGACCAGCTTGGCCAATGTGGCGAAACACTGTCTCTACTAAAAATATATAAATTAGCCAGGCATGGTGGCATGCACCTGTTGTCCCAGCTACTTGGGAGGCTGAGGCAGAAGAATTGGGGAGGCGGAGGTTGTGGTGAGCCAAAATTGCACACTGTTTTCCAGCCTGGGTGACAGGGTGAGACTGTCTAAAAAAAAATAAATAAATAAATAATTTAAAAAGGACTATTTTAAATTAGGCAGGGTAACTAACAAGGTGAGGTCAGCAGCCACATACAAGCAGAGAGGCTGTGCAGCCAGAAATTTTTGAGTTCTAAGCCTAGAGGAGACTCTGAATGGGCATCAACATAAATGTTAAAGGAGAAGATGACAGCTGATGCTTCTAAAGGGTTTGCTTTTGCTCCTAGAGTTCAAAACCTAATTCAGAAATGCATAAGTAAAAGGTAAATTATAGCTTTAACACTTTAATTTCAAGCAAACTAGCAAAGTCCTATCACATTTGTATTTTCTTCTTTCATTATTTTGTAGCTCTTACTTTTGTAAAAAAACTGATAAAAACTGGTGGCCACAAAGCTTAAGAGTGTTTATTCCAATGAGAAAGGCAAATAGAATCTAGTTCCCATTATTATTCCTGTCTTTCCACTTGGTATATGCTGATCTTTGAACATAAGACAAAAGACAAAGACAGACACTTGCATCAATAAATCCAACCAAACCAAGTGACACACATGCTTATCTGATGCTTTTCCTGCTCTGAAATCTATTTAAAAACAAAGAGAGGAGGAGGATGAAGTAGGTATTTGGGATTTCAACTTGAAGTAATGAAAATTATGAAAACAGACTAATACATCACAGAAAAACAAATGTTAATATGACTTCAGAACATAAATATGAATGAAAAATGTAACAAAAATAACTGCAAATGAACATTAAATCAGATGAAATAATGCCTATTTTCCTTTCAGTCTGCTCCAAAGCAGGAGAGTGATAAATGCTAAGAAACAGAGAGTTGAAGCTCTGGTATAAAAAACATATAAGAATCAAAAGTCTTCTAAAAAGGATTATAAACAAGACCGTCAAACAACTACTACTGCAACAGAATTTAAAAGACTAAGAGTTTGACATAAGGAATCAAATGGATAATTTCACTTTCAAAGTCAACAACATATACAGATCACCCTCCTCTATTACGAGCACCCCAGCTAGACTTGCCCATTTCAAGGCCTGGGCCATTAAAGAGCCGTCGCACATGTCCACTGCCTAGAGTCTTCTCTGCACTTGCTGCCCACCTCATGTCTTTTTAATTTTTTTGAGATGGAGTTTTACTCTTTTTGCCAGGCCGGAGTGCAACGGCACTATTTCAGGTTCATGGCAACCTCCAGCTCCCAGGTTCAAGTGATTCTCCTGCCTTGGCCTCCCGATTAGCTTGAATTACAGGCGCCCACCACCACGCCTGGCTAATTTTTTGCATTCTTAGTAGAGATGGGGTTTCACTATGTTGGCCAGGCTAGTCTTGAACTCCCGACCTCAGGTGATCTTCCCACCTCAGCCTTCCAATGTACTTGGATTACAGGCAGGAGCCACCGCGCCCGGCCTCATGCCTTTGGTTTCTTCACATCTTCAGGTCTTATTTTAAATACCACTTTCTCATAACATGTCTCCCAACGTTATGTGATCTCTGGCAACACACACAACTATTTCATCATTGCTATAATTTACATTTGTTTATTTGTGCAATTATTTAATTTATGTCTGTGTCACCCATCAAACTATAAATCTGTGAGGGCAGGAACCATGTCTGGCTTTGCTCACCACTGTTTGCAGAGGGTGGACCATTCTATAAATATTTGGTAAGTGAACAAAATCTTCCACTTCTACTGAAATATAAAAGGCAAATCATTTTTCTGTTCTGTTCTGTTTCCAGAAAAATGGAAAATCTTCCACTTCTACTTAAAGACATACCAGAAGCAGAAAAGTAAAGCCATCTAACTTAAACTAGGCTAATTTTTCAGAGCCATCTCATAATGGATATTAACTATATAGAACACATTTAGATTCCTAACTACATCTAATTTGTTATCTTAAAAATAGTTATTTGGGCCAGGCACGGTGGCTCACATCTGTAATCCCAGCATTTTGGGAGGCCAAGGCGAGTGGACCACAAGTTCAGGAGTTCAAAACCAGCCTGGCCAAGATGGTGAAACCCCATCTCTACTAAAAATACAAAAATTAATTGGGTGTGGTGGTGGGTGCCTGTAATCTCAGCTACTTGGGAGGCTGAGTCAGAGAACTGCTTGAACCCAAGAGGCAGAGGTTGTAGTGAGCTGAGATCGCACCACTGAACTCCAGCCTGGGTGACAGAGCAAGACCCCAACTCAAAAACAACAACAAAAAAAACCCCAGCTATTCCAAAACAACAGCCCCCCTTTTTTTCAAAAAAAGAAAGTTCATCATATTAATGCACACATTCCACAAAAGTACTGTTTACACACACACTAAATATGAGATTGCCTTTCTGCCAATGGCAATGGCTAGTCCAAGTGTGGGAACACTGAAGGCATTATTATAGATTTCCCTTTTTAGAGAATTCTTTAATTCTATGGCAGGGACCTTACCTCCATGACTATATAATCACACACTCACTAGACAGCTCCTTGTTATGTTACCAGAATATAGTCCTTGGCTCCAAATCAATGCTATATAAAAATTATATTCTGAAACTTTTTAAATAGAATTTTCATAATTATTCTGTGTTTTTGAGAATCCTTATACTTTGACCTAGCAGACTGAAGGAGAACAGGAATGAGAGAGGGAGATATGTAAAGGATATGTTAGCAGAAAGTTCTACGAAGTTACATCAAAAAGGGAAACAAATGGTCAACATAAAGATAAGAAAAATCAGTCAAATTATGGTGCTACTTACAGGAAGAGTGCCAGTTAAGGTACAGAGAGGTCACAGAATAATCATCTTTTCTCTCTTTTAACCCAGAAGACTAGCTTAAATATTTTACATTTCATACCAAATTACGATGGATGGTTCATAACATCCCAGCATGCCGTAAGAGAATAGCTAAAGGGACAAGCTCTTTTCACTTGTAATATAAAGAATGTTACCAGAGGTAGAATGTTTACCAGAATGTTTACTAGAGGCAGTCATGGCTAAAAAATAAACTTACTAATGAAATTTCACAAGAAAATAAACTCCTCTGCCCCACAAGATGGAGTCTTGCTCTATTGCCCAGGCTCAAGTGTAGTGGCTCAATCTTGGCTCACTGCAACCTACGCCTCGAGGGTTCAAGCGATTCTCCTGCCTTGGCCTCCTGAGCAGCTGGTATTACAGGCATGTGCCCCCATGCCCAGCTAATGTTTGTATTCTTGGTACAGATGGGGTTTCACTATATTGGCCAGGCTGGTCTCAAACTCTTGACCTCGTGATCTCTGCCCACCTGGGCCTCCCAAAGTGCTGGGATTACAGGCGTGAGCCACCAAGCCTGGCCGGAAACTAAAAATTTTACAAGTGAATTATATTTGCAATTATATGCCAATAGGGGAACTCCAATATTGTGAATCACAAAAACAGGAAAGTAGTTACTTCCCTTACACATACAATGACCACTACACAACTGGGTGATATTGCATTATTATAGACTTTGTTTGTAGATGAGAAATGTAGTCAAGGGCAAAAATGAAAAGCTATTCTTCACTTTACTGATTGTTATTATCCTTCACTTTACTAATTGCTTTTTTACTGATTTCACTTTCTCCCCCAGTCCTTTCTTGCAAGGTTAGAACCTGGGAACCTAAACAAATGGAAAAGTCAATTCCTGAGCCATAGCTCCATAAATATTTTAAGTGGAAATCAAAATAGATTGATTGTATACCTATACTTACATCTAATATGATTAAAAGAAATAAAACTAGAGAGAAAAGAATACATGTATCTTAAGTCAGTTAATGTCCACATTAAGTGGGATTGTCTTGAGTTTCCATACAACTTCCTGAAAATACAAATGTTTCTTAGAAGTCTTATCCAGGATAATCTTTTTTACTAGGGCAGATGACAGAATATGAAAGTTGAAAAAGGTCTTTAAGGCTCTTTATTTCTACCTGTCATTAGCTTTACACTTCAGAGTCCAGAAGGCTTCAGTTTAAGTTGCTTGTCCTAGTGACAGAGATGGTCTAAAACCCAAGGCTTCTCCTGACAATTAAGTCAGGCTTCTCCTCACCATGTTACATAAAATGAAGCTGCCTACTCTTCACTGCAGTGGTAAAGAACACAAATAAACAGTTTTAGAAGCTGTGTAACTGGCACTGGGAAAAAAGTTTATGGCCAGAAACTGGGTTCTAACTTCTAACTCCCTTAGAATAAGATAAAAATGTGCTGAAGCATACAGGCAGCCATCAAATAAAGCAAGCAATACTGTCCCACTGTCTGTATACACCTTTCTCTATTTTCATAAAAATCAGCTTCTGTGAAATTCTAAGTATCTATTCATGGCGATACACTAGTAGAAAACAATAGTCATGGCCACATAATCCCTTTATGTTTATTCATGGAAAAACTGAATTCCAAATGCTCCTTCACCACTGGAAAACCCAGAGACTGTCTAATATTATGACCTACAGTTATACTTTAGACTTTCATTTCTATCAAAGAAGTTTTTATTTTCCTCCTTTCCATAACAGTGATCATCTTCTAAATCAATTATGAGGTTCTGACCATGTGAGCAATACCATATTATAAATTCTTTTTTTTTTTTTTTTTTTTTTTGGAGACGCAGTCTCACTCTGTTGCCCAGGCTGGAGTGCAATGGCGTGACCTCAGCTCACTGCAACTTTCACCTTCTGGGTTCAAGTGATTCTCCCTACCTCAGCCTCCCAAGTAGCTGGGATTACAGGTGCCTGCCACCACGCCCAGCTAATTTTTGGCATTTTAGTAGAGACAGGGTTTCACCATATTAGCCAGATGGTCTCAATCTCCTGACCTTGTGATCTACTCGCCTCAGCCTCCCAAAGTGCTGGGATTACAGGCATGAGCCACTGTGCTCGGCCTATAAATTGTTTCATTTTATATTTTTTGGTAGAGTTGGGGTCTTGCTCTGTCCACAGGCTGAAGTGCAGTGGTGCAATCACTGCTCACTGTAGCATCAAACTCTTGGGCTCAAGTTATCCTCCCGCCTTAGCTTCCAAAGTAGCTGGAATTACAGGTATGTGCCACCATGCCCAACTAATTTTTTATATTTTTAGTAGACACAGGGTTTGACTGTGTTATCCAGGATGATCTTGATTTCCTGACCACGAGATCCACCCACCTCAGCCTCCCAAAGTGCTGGGATTACGACATGAGCCACTGCACCCAGCCTATTTTTTAAATTTTTAAAGAGACAGGGTCTTACTATGTTGCCCACTCTGGTCTCAAACTCCTGGCCTCATCCTCCAGACTTGCTGAGATTACAGATGTGAGCCACTGCACCTGGTGAGATAAGTTTTAAAACTTATGTCTCTACTAGGTCAGGAGACTTGCTATCCTTTAATTTTTAGATAACTGGTACTTATCGATTTAACACTGACATAATTCCCTTATTTATAAAGGATTCAACAATATGTGGTTCTAATGTACCATTAAAGTTAAATTTAATACTTTTAAACCTGGACATACGGTTTGGTTAATCCAATGCGTGCTCTACTGTTGAATTTGTAATTACAATTACCAGAGCATGAACACTGGATATGGACAAAGACACCAGTATTATGAACATGTGCATACAGAGCTCTGCATCACTGACAGATGCACAAACTGAGAGCCAGAGACAATGTCTCAGTTTGGTGAACTAGTCTTAACACAAAGTAGTTTCATATAGCACCAAATAAATATTCCTTTTTTTTTTTTTTTGAGATGGAGTCTCACTTTGTCGCCCAGGCTGAAGTGCAATGGCGTGATCTCGGCTCACTGTAACCTCCAACTCCTGGATTCAAGCAATTCGCCTGTCTCAGCCTCCTAAGTAGCTGGGACTACAGGTACCTACCACCAAGTCTGCCTAATTCTTTTATTATTTTTAGTAAACAGGGCTTCGCCATGTTGGGCAGGCTGGTGGTCTCAAACTCCTGACCTCAGGTAATCCACCCATCTTAGCCTCCCAAACTGCTGGGATTGCAGGCGTGAGCCACCATACCCGGCCTAATTTTTGTATTTTTAGTAGAGACAGGTTTCATGGGTCAGGCTGGTCTTGAACTCCTGACCTCAGGTGATCCACCCGCCTAAACCTCCCCAAGTGCTAGGATTACAGGCATGAGCCACCATGCCTGGCCAATATTCATCGTTGATGGGTCAATAGATGATTTTCTGAGCTTTGTTATTATAAACCCTATAGGTCAAAATTTTAGCACATGCTTATCTACAGATAAGCTCAGTGAAACTGGCCAGAGAAAGGCATTCATTTTAGGTAAAGGAGAAGCTTGACTTTCCTGATTCTTTTTAGGACTCAGTAGACTAAGCAAAATATAAATTTAACTCTACTCCTGAATCTACTTTTGTCCTCTGATTCCTGCAGTATCACAGATTCTTCAGCCAAACCTTGGCCTTGCTCTGCTCCCTCTCTTATGTTATCTCTGTATGCTTTTCAATCAAATTCCTTTAAAAAGGAAACAGCTAGACCATACATAATACCATTCACTGAACCCACTATGTTTGACTCTTACGTTTGACTTTCTCCTTTGGGGTTCCTTTCTTTGTTTTTTTTTTGAGACAGAGTTTCGCTCTTGTTACCCAGGCTGGAGTGCAATGGTGGGATCTTGGCTCACCGCAACCTCCGCCTCCTGGGTTCAGGCAATTCTCCTGCCTCAGCCTCCTGAGTAGCTGGGATTACAGGCATGCACCACCATGCCCAGCTAATTTTTTGTATTTTTAGTTGAGACGGGGTTTCACCATGTTGACCAGGATGGTCTCAATCTCTTGACCTCGTGATCCACCCACCTCGGCCTCCCAAAGTGCTGGGATTACAGGCGTGAGCCACCGCGCCCGGCCCCTGGGGTTCCTTTTTTCAGAACAAAATTACTGGGCAATTTAAGACAAGGTGTGTTCCATGCAGTCTTCATATATTGCTGCATAATTTGCTGAGTAGACTGAGAACCTCACCAACAATGCCTGAGAACTCTCTCAGCCAGGTCAGCATTGATAAAGAGCTTGAAGTATTGGAGAACTTGGAAAAGAGCATTCATGAGTTTAATTGGCTAATGCAAGGTTACCCAAAATTGCACAGGCAGGGAGGCCTTCAGAGTAAGAGCTGGTCCCTTTTTGCCTTTCTCACAATAACCTCACCAACCTTCCCACTAAAATGAACCAAGGGGATCGGTCGTAAAACGGGTCATGCCCATCACTGAAGAGATCTGATCCCTCCTCCGTCCCTGCGTCAGAGCCGGCGTCATCCACGAATGCCTCATCATCAAAATCCTCCATCTCATCTTGCTGCTCGTCAGCCAGCTCAGTGATGTCGGAATCGGCCGTGGAAAAAGTGGGGGAGGGTGTGCGGTCGGCAAGGCGCTCATTCACACAGCCGTGGAAAATGGGGGAGCTAGACACCAGGTAAGACGCCAATTAACACAGCCAGGGAGAGAGGAATAGTTGGTTAAACAGGAAGCAATAGGTGCCAACAGGACAGAATCCACTGGGGAATCAACACAATAAAAGCAAATGGAAAAGCAAAACGATAAAATAAGCATAAATCATTTGGGTCAGGTGAAAGGGAACAAGGGCAGTTTGAAAAAGTTATGTAAGGACTGATCCTTAGAATGAAAAAGGCAAAGCAAACATATGAGTAGACCATCCTAGGTAAATATGGTGTTATAACACGTTTACATTCTCCAGTTCCCATAAAAGATCAGCATCTAGGCCTCAAAGAACCCACTCAACATCAAAGTGAAATAAGAAGGCTTTCAATCTTTACTGAAATTCTGACATCATCTTGGAGCAGAAAACAAAATGAATGAAATGGTATATGACAAAGCAGCACGTGCTGTGCTAAGGTTAAGATGCGTTTGGCCAATTCATCTCTTTGAAAAACTATTTTGCTATCAGAGTAAAGTGGAAAAGATTTACTTCATTTCCACAACATCCTATGACTTCAGCAACTCCTTTTTACCCAGCCTCTTTAAAAACCATTACAGGGTTTTTTGCAGTTGAAAAGCAATTCAAATTCTGAAATCATAAGCTCAAAACTTAAATTTCCCTGCTTTGAAAATTCGAAACCTTTTAAGAACTTCACTCAACATGGACTCACAGAGGCACTATGTGCTTTCATTAAGTGCTGAAAATAATGTATAAAAAATGAGGCTGAAGGAGACTACCAAAGTACAATGAATTCACCCTTGCAATGACTAAAGTGAGATGAATTACTTTTTTTTTTTAAAAAAAAGGAAGAACAAATTAAATCATGAAGAGAGTGTGTCTGATAAGCCGTACTATGAATTTAAACTGTGTACAAGTATTCTTTTCCTTTTAAATTTATCTTTATCAGTTGCAGAACATTTTGTAAGTTTAAAGTCAGGGAAGACTCAAACACTTTGACTGAAAGTTTGAGACTCAAAACAAATATCCCCACTGAGTATATGACAGGAAATATACCAAATGACACAGTGGTTATAAGTATTTAAGATTACAGATGCCTTCTTACCCTCTTTTTTTTCCTCTTAACTTTTTATAGTATCTGCTCAGGTTTTAAACACTTAAAATAAAACTATTCATTATTTTTAAAAGAAGACATCAACAAAATCATCACATACCTTCCCACAAGTTTGAACCAGTGGAACCGATCATAGAAGGGATCGCTGCCAGTCACAGTGGTCTCGCTTTCATCTTGGGCACTGGAGGCCATCTCCCCTGCCCTATCATACATCTCTCGCATCAAATCCAGCCTCTGCCTATTTAGCACACACAAAGCACATTGGGTTAATATAATGAGACTACACTAAACTTTGGAAGGATCCTCCATGCAAGATTTTCTTCAAAATAAAAAAAAAGTTACTCCCACTCTTTAATGTTATTTGAAAAGAATGAAGGCCAAAAGTATAGAAACCAACACTTAGTATCCCAAGTGTGTGAGTCTAGAGATAAGCCCTCAAAAGTCAAGAATGGCCACCTATCCTCTACTGAGTGAAAAGTCACAAAGGGGAATACTGTAAGTCAACTGTACATGGCATCTTAAATACACTGAGATGGGGAAATATCTCATCTTAAATGTAAAAGAAGCTATAACTTCCATATTTAGTATTGATCATCCTGAGGTCCAGGATAGAAAAGATGAGTAAGTTCCAGATCTGAAATGGAAATATCATGAAATTGGAATATTTAAAATTTAAAAGAGGGTCTACGGAGGGTAAATTAAAATATCTACAAATGTCAGAGGTGTATGAGGAGTACAATTCATTCACTTAAAAGAAAACGGATGGTAATATCATTGGCCAGCAACAGCACTTACAAAGTTCAAGGAAGTTTCAAGATAAGATTTGGGTGAAAAAAGAAAAACAAATGAAAAGAAAGTACAAGGAAGTAAGCAACGGTGTCCTCAGAGAGGAGAGTTTGAGGGAGCCTACTTAAGCAAGTCATTGTTTCTCCCTAAATAAAACAATCAGCCTTTATGAATGTTTTCATACTTGAGTTTCTCCAAAGACCAATAGTGTGTTGCTCCATTCTTCAAATCCTGGACTTCTACTGCTACCACTGTGCGAGGGAAAGGCCTGTCCTCATAAGTTTTTTCCATCTCAGTGGGAAGTAATTCAGGAGGCAAAGGGGAGTACAGTGTGTCAGTCAGCAGAACAAACTGAAACTGCACCTGAAAGGAAAGAATAAACCATTGACAAATGGTTTTCATCAAGCAAGCTTCAGAGATGAGACAATACAATCATGCCCAATGCAAAAGAGGTTGAATGTGTTGTATGTGCTCAATAAATATCTTGTGACTAACTGAAAAATAAGGCCACCTGTTAGCAGTCATGGGGAATAACCCTAACTTCAAACTAAGATCTTTTTGAGGGGAGCCACAAGAGGGACAGGGTTGTACTCTGTCACTCTGTCAGGCTGGGTGCAGTGGTGTAATCACAGATCACTGTAGCCTCCAGTCCTAGGCTCATGTGATCTTCCCACCTCAGCCTCCTGTGTACCTGGGACTACAGGCATATATTACCAGCCCAGCTAATTTTTGGTATTTTTTGTAGAGATGGGATTTCACCATGTTGCGCAGGCTGGTCTAGAACTCCTGAGTTCGAGATCCACCAGCCTTGGCCTCCCAAAGGGCTCAGATCACAGGTGCAAACCACACCCGGGCTAAAATTTTGATAAATATATTTTGATTGACTGAATGAAGCCTTTTATAGAACTTACACCAGAGATCAAAAGGTGGACCACAAAATGCACATCTAATCCCTTACTAATGAGAGAGGATGGAAACACAGCAAGGTTTCCCATTTTAAATTCAGAGAGTTACAACTACTGCTCTTAAAAGCGTTTTTTAGGTGGGACATCAAAGTTCACATCTATAATCCCAGCACTTTGGAAGCTTAGCCCAGGAATGTGGAACCAGTGTAGGAAACACAGTGACACCCTGTCTCTACAAACTAAGCCCAGGATGTGGAGGCTGCAGTGAGCCATAATTATGCCACTACACTCTAGCCTGGGCGACAGCCAGGTCCTGTCTCAAAAAAAAGTGTTTATTATAAGGTAAGTGCTTCACAACATCGCGTCATTTATTTCTCACTACCACCTATATTTTCACCAAGAAATTATTATTAAACAAATTATTACTTAATATTAAATGCTATGCATAGCAGTAAGAAAAAATGACAGTTACTTCCTTTAATCTACTTGTGGAGAGGAGTGGTTAATAAATAATTATAAAATGAGAAAAGTTGCCGAGAGTATGAATGAAGATCTTATTCCCTAGAACTATAATTTAGTTCTATGAGAAGAAATTAATTTCCCCAAAGTCAGGCAGTCTGTGCTCTTACCTACTACACAATATGGTCTTCCACTGTAATCTTAGCAGTGAAGAAACTGATAAACATTGGGGCATACAGAAGACGGAATCTATGGTTTGGTGTGAAGTTTTGTTAATACTTACAAAAATGAGTAACATTTATTGCCTTTTACCATGCCAGGCACTATTTTAAGTGCTTTATGCCCCATTTTCATTCCTCACAAAATCCCTTGGTGCCAGATATTGTTGCCAATACCATTATGTAGATGGGGAATGGAGGCACAGGGCCTCTGGGGTCAACACAACTCGTGGAGCTGGGGCTGGAACTTGGACTATCTGGGTCCAGAGTGCACGTGCTTGTCCACTACACAACAGTGCCTCTCAGACCCTAGAGGAGGAGCAGATCAGTGGCAAAGGGGCATACCAAACTTAGAGGTGCAAACTTAACGGCAGAAAAGCAGAAGAAAATTAAAATTATTCAGAAACCCAAGAGAAGCATTTTTCTACTACTATGTTTCTCCGGTTCTTGTTAGGAATACAGTCTCCTTACTTGCAAAATAAGCTAGAAAACATCTGGTTTTTTTTCAATTTTATTTAATAAAAATTTAATTAGTACCTATTATATTCCAGGCACATATATTAAATAAAGACATATATAAAGCTGTTTTATAGCACAAAGCAGCCGAGTTCCCCCAAAGGAAAGGTTAGTTCAAGGTGAGGGCCCAGATGCACCCACAGCAGGCTCAGCTTTGCCTCCAGATCTCCTGTGTTCTCCTGCTCCATACCTTCTTTTTCAGTTCCACACTGATGGCATTGGCCTCCTTTAGGTACACGGCATTGCCCCAGAGTAAGTCCCGTAATGAAGTAAACTGGTGAGACTTCCATTTCCGGAAGGCCCATTGAGCCAACTCAAATTCATGCTGTGTCCAAGAAACTGAAAGAATGAATGATGCATATTTAATAGCAATCTTACAATTACATAAAAATTACATCTCTCTTCTAGCCTATCTCTTTTACCAAGATGGTGTTTTCTAATTTCTCTGAATTCAGCTGTTTTTGTTTTCTCTTCTTTTTAGTAAAGCTTACTAAATTCTTTTGATATTAGGAAAGCAATATATACATTTCAGAAAACCTTTAAAAATCCTACTTTTGGCCGGGCACAGTGGCTCACACCTGTAATCCTAGCACTTTAAGAGGCTGAGGTGGGCAGATCACCTGAGGTCAGGAGTTTGAGACCAGCCTGACCAACATGGAAAAACCCCGTCTTTACTAAAAAAAAACGAAAAACAAAACAAAAACCAAAAACCAAAAAAAAAATCCTACTTTTGAATTTATTTAAAATAGTACATCAAAGAAATACATTTTTCTTAAAAAAAAAAAAAGATATTATTCTTTCTTGACAACTTCATAATATTCTTGGAGTAAAAAAAAGATTATTATTATTATAACATATGGCAACAATAAAAAAAAATACTCCTGGGCTGGGTGCGGTGGCTCACACCTGTAATCCCAGCACTTTTTGAGAGGCCAAGGCAGGTGGATCACCTGAGGTCAGGAATTCAAGACCAGCCTGACCACAAGGAGAAACCCCATCTCTACTAAAAATACAAAATCAGCTGTGTGTGGTGGTGTATGCCTGTAATCCCAGCTACTTGGGAGGCTGAGGCAGGAGAATCACTTGAACCCAGGAGGCAGAGGTTGCAGTGAGCCGAGATAACACTATTGCACTCCAGCCTGGGCAACAACAACAAAACTCTTTCTTAAAAAAAACAAAAAACAAAAAAAACAACTCCTGGCTAGGCACAGTGGCTCACATCTATAATCCCAACACTTTGGGAGGCGGAGATGGGCAGATAACCTGAGGTCAGGGGTTTGAGGCCAGCCTGGCCAACATGGTGAAACTTCATCTCTACTAAAAATACACAAATCAGTCAGGCGTGATGGCGTGTGCCTGTAGTCCCAGTTACTCAGGAGGCTGAGACATGAGAATTGCTTGAACCTGGGAGGCAGAGGTTGCAGTGAGCCAAGATTGCACCACTGCACTCAAGGCTGGGTGACAAAGTGAGACTCTGTCTCAAAAAAAGAAAGACAAACTCCTGACCTCTGACCCCTGATATACTGTATGACTTCATATATTTCTCTTTTTTTGTTCTACTACAGAGAGAAAAAAGGTACCATTTCACTTATTTACAAATAAGAAATTAGCTGGGTTCAGTGGCTCACGCCTGTTATCCCAACACTTTGGGAGGCCATGGCAGGTTTGAGAACAGCCTGACCAACATTGTGAAACCCTGTCTCTACTAAAAACACAAAATTAGCCAGGTGCAGAGGCGCATGCCTGTAATCCCAACTGCTCAGGAGGCTGAGGCAAGAGAATCGCTTGGACCAGGAGGTGGAGGATGCAATAAGCCAAGACTGCGCCTTTGCACTCTAGCCTGGGTGACAAGAGCAAAACTCTGCCTCAAAAATGAATAAATAAATAAGAAATTTGATACATGAATTAAGAGTTTCTTCAAAGTTAGTTTGAAGCTTTGAGACTGCCAAGAGGTCGGGTGGAAAATGAAGTGTGGTAAGTGTTCATACTGCATTATAAGGCAATAAGTAACAATGAAAAGCCCTAACCCAGCTAAGAAAGGCTGGAAAACCTAACATAGGCAAACGTGACTAAGCAATATGATTAGAAATTTGCCAGAAATGGCTTCAAAGTACACTGACACATTCCAAAGTCCTCACTTGGAAATCTGACATTAGCCAGCAAATTGAACAGACTGTCTTAACAAAGATTAAGCTCTATTATTTATTTGTAATTTATATATAAAAACATCACATCTACAGCAATATGAGGCAGTACATGTAAACTTTCTTTTTTTGAGACAGAGTCTCACTTTGTTGCCCAGGCTGGAGTGCAGCGGCACAATCGTGGCTCACTGCAATGTCTGCCTCCCTGGTTCAAGTGATTCTCCTGCCTCAGCTTCCCAAGTAGCTAGGACTACAGGTGCACACCACCATGACTGGCTAATTTCGATCTTGCTGCCCAGGCTGGAGTACAATGGTGTGATCTCTGCAACCTCTACCTCCCAGGTTTTAGCAATTTTCCTGCCTCAGTCTCCCAAGAAGCTGGAATTATAGGCATGCACCACCATGCCTGGCTAATTTTTGAATTTTTAGTAGAGATGGGGTTTCACCATGTTGGCCAGGCTGGTCTTGAACTCCTGACCTCAAGTGATGCCCCCACCTTGGCCGCCCAAAGTGCTGGATTACAGGCGTGAGCCACTGTGCCCTGCAACTTTCTAAGACATTTATATGAAGATGTGTTCAGAAACCTTGTGAAGGTCTAAGAACACTATTACCCCCATCCCCACCTCATAAAATACAGCCTGGATTCTCAATACTGCACATCTATTAAATCATCAATAAACGGGCTCAGTAAAATTTCAATAAATGATAGGGCCCACTATGAGGAATCCAGCTTTGATTATGCATAAATGACTAATTTGATAATATAGCTCCAAAAAGATATACAAAGGAAAGTTTCTGTCTCTAGATTTCACCTTCTTCCTCCTCTTCCTCCTCTTCAGTTGTTTCTGCGGCTAGGGATCGGGTTTCAACCTGCTTCTGCAAGGCCTGCAATTTACTCTCATAGTCCTGAATGAAAAGAAAGGAGACAACAAGTAGGAGAGAGAAGAAATAAGAGGGCAGAAAAAGAGATGGAAGGAATATTGGGGTAAGTACAGCAAGCAAAGGACAAAGAAAAGAGACAAAGGCAGAAAACAATAATAAAAAGACATACAGAGAAAGGTTTAGAAAAAAACTCACAAAGCACACAAGATGGTGGGTAATGGATAAATGCTAAAAAGATAAAAAACTCACTACAGTATATGTTTCTACTCCCTCAAAGACTCCATTCTTTATCTGGGGTAGTGGTAGGAGAAAGGGGGAATTTTTAGGCGAAATTTCTATGTGTATATATATATATGTATATGTATATATATCTTAAATTTGTTATATTCAAGTAATATCTTACACATCAATAAGTTCCAGAGAAAAGTAACATTGAAAATGATTAAATTCATCAGTATCACCAAAAATCTCAATTATCTAACTCTTTGGAAGGAAAAAGAAATTAAGATTGTAGACTTTGGTGCTTCCTATCGGTGAAAAATTACTATCTTTGATCAGTAGGATGAGTTTAGCCTTCAGGTAACCAAAATCTCATAGTGCTATTAGAACTGAAATAATTTATAGACTGTATTTAGTTATTCAAGTAAGACACTTTATTTTCAATACTCAATTATAAGATGGATTATTGGCCAGGTGTGGCTCACACCTGTAATCCAGCACTTTGGGAGGCTGAGGTGGGCAGATCACCTCAGGTCAGGAGTTCCAGACCTGCCAGGCCAACACTGTGAAACCCCCATCTCTACTAAAAATACAAAAAGCAGCTGGGTGTGGTGACGCGCGCCTGTAATCCCAGCTACTTGGGAGGATGAGGCAGGAAAATCACTTGAACCAGGGAGGCAGAGGTTGTAGTGAGCTGAGATCATGCCACTGCACTCCAGCCTGGAGACAGAGATTCCGTCTCAAAAAAAAAAGATGAATTATTATAATACAAATAAAATTTATCCTTCATTTTACCATCTACTTCATGTATTTCTGAATAAAGGAAATATCACTCCCAAAGAGGCCAAAAAATGGTTCTCAGAGGATGAAAAACATCTTAGCTCTTTTAATATATAAAGCACAAATATATACAGTGTACAGATATGTAGTATATCTGAGATATTAAAATCTCATGGTGAGTGGGGAGAGATTAGGGGACAAATGTCTAAAAAGTTTCCTTAGGTTATTAATTTGCAAAACTCGAATTTTAGTGAAAATAAAACAAGCAGGATTAAGAAAGAGACCTTCAAACAGTGAAATACTAAATTATAGCATAAGCATAACATTTTAGGATTTACTGCCAAGGTTTCCTTCTTCTTCTTTTGGTTCCCTAGCAGTGACCCAATTACAGTCTGTCATGAGACAAAGGGTGTAAGTATGACCATACACTGCTTCCAAACAGAGCTCTCCAAGTCCCACATCAAACATTCCATGCATCACAAAGCAGTGCTGAAAGCCCTTTAGTAAGCTCCATTACAAAAGAAGCTCCCAAAGTAATGCTCAGAAGGATGCAAAAATCCTCTATGGTTCTGGTCATTTGTCAGTTAGTTTCACAAAGGAAGTGTTCTCTCGAGATGGGCTAGCAGTGACCAAGATCAAGAGCCAACTACATAGCATTACTAGATATCTAAACACACTTTTTAGGAGACTACCTATTATGAAAAAAAAAAAGAAAAAATGAAGAAAAAAATTAAACAAGTAAAAGGCTTGGGTTTGGGTCCTGCAAACTGTTCTACTAGCCTTAGAATTCTGAGAACGTTAAATCCTCTCTAAACCTCACTTTCTTCATCTTTAAATGAAGATTGTAGCATTCGACCTGCCTACCGTGCATTACTAGAGGAAGGACCAATAGGTGAACCGTTTTAAAAACATGTGAAAGCCCTCTTACATGGTAATACACTATCAAAATGTCAGACAATGCTTTTTTTTTTTTTTAAGATGGAGTCTTCCTCTGTTGACTAGGCTGGGCAGGATGGAGTGCAGTGGTGCAACCTCAGCTCATCGCAACCTCATGCTTCCCAGGTTCAAGCAATTCTCCTGCCTCAGCCACCTGAGTAGCTGGAACTACAGGGGTGCGCCACCACAACCGGCTAATTTTTTTGTATTTTTAGTAGAGAAGGGGTTTCACTAATTTGGCCAGGCTGGTCTGAAACTCTTGACCTCATGATCCACCTGCCTCACCCTCCCAAAGTGCTGGGATTATAGGTGTGAGCCACTGCTCCCAGCCTCAAGCAATGTTTTTTTCTTAAAGGTTATTTTTTAAGTATACTTAGCAATTAGATCTTGGTTTCCAAATACCATTGCCACTAAAAGGAACCAGGGCTCCTTGAAAAAATTAGCTGCTTCCTTGAAGCAAGGAAAGTACAAGGTGAGTCTGAAACATTTTGTGTCAGAAAGGACAGAAGAACTCAAACACTACTGGGGCTATCTCAAAAGGACACAGGATCCCACTGGCTAATAAATCAACAGTAAAATAACATAATACACTGAATATACAAAGAATTCATGACTTCTTGGTGATACTGAAAGAAGGAGAGAAAAAGGGGAAGCTCTTTTCTTTAAATAAAATTTTTTAAAAAGCTAGCTAATTACCAGGCATAGGCATGCACCTTTAATTTCAGCTACTTAGGAGGCTGAGGCTGAGGCAGTTACTGGCCTCCCAAAGTACTGGAATTATAGGTGTGAGCTGCCATGCCTCATGATCAGGCCTGTGAATAGCTACTCCAGCCTGGGTAACATAGCAAGATCCCATCTGAAAAACAAAAACAAAAAAAAGGTAGCTAATAAATGCAGAAAAATGACAACTGGAAAATCACCATATTGCAACCCCAGATGTAATAACTGAATCAAGCAAGGATCATTAATAAATGCTAAAATAGGCCAAGCACAGTGACTCAATGCCTATAATCATTGCACTCTGGGAGGCTGAGGCAGGTGAACTGCTTGATCCCAGGAGTTCCAGACTGGCCTGGGCAACATGGCCAAACTCCATGTCTGCAAAAATTATACAAAAATTAGCCAAGCATGGTGGCACACACCTGTAGCCCCAGCTACTCAAAAGGCTAAGGTAGGAGGATCACTTGAGCCCAGGAGGTGGAGGCTGCAGTGAGCTGTAATTGTGACACTGTACTCTAGCCTGGGCCACAGAGCAAAAGACCCCCATCTCAAAAACAACAAACAACAAAAAGCTAAAATAATTGAGTAACAGCATGGAAAACAATATGAATATGATCCAAAGTCCATGCCCAGATATCTATTAATAAGAAGGGAAATGATATATTTACAATGGAGAGAGCTGGGAAACATCACATTAACCAAATTTACAAAATTTTAACATTATCAATAATAGGAGAAATTGACATTTTATGTCTACTGATGTGATGCAATGGGAAATACACCATCACCATAATAGCAATCTTTTTCTTTTTTCTTAGAGACAGGGTCTCCTTCTGTCACCCAGGCTGGAGTGCAATGGTACAATCACAGCTCACTATAACCTTGACCTCTCAGACTCAAGTGATCCTCCCGTCTCAGCCTCCCAAGTAACTGGGACTATAAGAGGGAGCCACCATGCATAGCACCTTTATAGCATTCTTTTTTGAGATGGAATTTTGCTCTGACACAGTCTTAGCTCACTGCAACCTCTGCCTCCTGGGTTCAAGCAATTCTCCTGCCTAAGCCTCCCGAGTAGCTGGGACTATAGGTATGCACCACCACACGCAGTTAAATTTTTCATTTTTAGGTCAGGTGCAGTAGCTCATGCCTGTAATCCCAGCACTTTGGGAGGCCGAGGCGGGTGGATCGCCTGAGTTTGGGAGTTTGAGACCAGCCTGGCCAACATGGTGAAATCCCCTCTCTACTAAAAAAATTACAAAAATTAGCTGGGCATGGTGACGGGTGTCTGTAATCCCAGCTACTCAGGAGGCTGAGGCAGGAGAATCATCTGAACCCAGGAGGCAGAGGTTGCAACGAGGCGAGATCATGCCATTGCACTCCAGCCTGGGTAACAGGGTGAGACTCGGTCTTTAAAAAAAAAAAAAAAAATTGTATTTTTTAATAGGGAGGGGGTTTCATCATGTTGGCCAAGCTGGTCTTGAACTCCTGACTTCAGGTGATCCACCCATCTCAGCCTCCCAAAGTGCTGGGATTAACAGATGTGAGCCACTGCACCCCGTCCCTTTATAGCATTCTTAACAAAAAAGTTTAACCTGAATCTAATATTGAGGAAACAATCAGACAAGTTAGAATATGGCATGGACACTTCAAAAATACCAGAAGAATTAAAAATTTTAAAAATTATAACCAGGCTGGGCGCGGTGGCTCACGCCTATAATCCCAGCACTTTCGGAGGCCGAGACGGGTGGATCACAAGGTCAAGAGATCGAGACCATCCTGGTCAACAAGGTGAAACCCCGTCTCTACTAAAAATACAAAAAATTAGCTGGGCATGGTGGTGCGTGCCTGTAGTCCCAGCTACTTGGGAGGCTGAGGAAGAAGAATTGCTTGAACCCAGAAGGCGGAGGTTGCAGTGAGCCGAGATCGTGCCACTGCACTCCAGTCTGGGTAACAACAGTGACACTCCGTCTCAAAAAAAAAAAAAAAAAAAAAAAAAAAAACAAATGAAATATATAAACCTTGACTGGATCTTGGATTAAAAAATTCCCTTTCCCAACATTTATATTTTTGAAATAATTAGGGAATTTGAAAATGGACTGTATATGACATAATATTGAATCAATATTAAATCAGAATTAAATTTCTTGGATGGCACAGTGGTATTAAGAAAATATTCATGGCTGGGCATGGTGGATCACCTGAGGTCAGGAGTTCAAGTCCAGCCTGGCCAACATGGTGAAACTCCATCTCTACAAAAACACAAAATTAGCTGGACATGATGGCAGGTGCCTGTAGTCCCAGCTACTTGGGAAGCTGAGGCAGGAGAATCGCTTGAACCCAGGAGGTGGAAGTTGCAGTGAGCCAAGATC